ATAGATTTCAGAGAGGAAGGGAGAGGAGAGAGAGATAGAAACATCAGTGATGAGAGAGAATCATTGACCAGCTGCCTCCTGCATACCCCCTATTGGGGATAGAACCGCAATCCGGGCATGTGCCCTGACCGAGAATGGAAGAGCAACCGCCTAGTTCATAGGTCGATGCTCAATCACTGAGCCATGCCAGCAACCGCCTAGTTCATAGGTCGATGCTCAAGCACTGAGCCATGCCAGCCGGGTGAGTCTGTATTTATTTATCTGTTGGGTTAAGCAGGCAGTTTAGTACCTACCAACTACTCTGCTACTCAGATCACCTCCAATGAAGCGAATTTGTGTCAAGGGTGGGGGCATAGGAATCTCTGAAGCCCACAGCCCACCCACTGACAAGTAAACAAAGACATGTGAGCTTCATTCACAGAGCTGCCTGGCAGCCCTCAGATGATGCAAGGCTTTGGTCTTTTTTCAGTCTGTGACCATGACTTGTTGACCCATAAGTAAAAGACACTGAGTTTACTACACATTTCTTCTCTCTTTTCCATCCCAGAAAAATCTGAGACTGAACCTAATAAAAGGGAACTCTTTCCTTGCTGTCAATGATGGAAAACATATGACTGAAATGCCAAGAACTTTATACACCACCATTATGCAACTGGGGCAGTTGCTTGGCCAAAAAAAAAGCAGTTGGAGATGTTCCAGCAGTAACCACGTGAATGTGACAAGGTGATAAATACTAGAGGGTCTGGTGCCATGCGTTATGCTACAATCAGTGCAACAGCTCTCACCTGTTTCTATGGTATATATGAGTTCTGCATTTTCCCCTTTGTCTTTGTCCAGAGCCGTCACTTGCAGAACAGCTGATCCCAGAGCAGCCGATTCAAACACAGATGCTTCATACAGCGGGTTGGTAAAATAAGGACTGTGATCATTAGCATCTTCCACATTCACAATGACTCGGGCCAAGTTTCTTCGATAAGGAAACTCCTGATCTCTGACCTTTAGGCAAAATAACAAGAAGCAGTAGGACTAGAATCTTAAGTTGCAAAGAACTCACAGGGCGATGTCTGTAGTGAAAACAAAATGACAATGTACACAAAGTGCTTGACCCAGTCCCAGGCACATAGTAGGTGCTCAACAAATGGTAGTATTATCAAGTCAGATAATCAACTGAGAGCAGGGACCACATCCTCTTTATTACTTGGTGTTATGCCTGATGTTTGCTCTGTGTCCAGTCTGTGTTTATGGAACTGATGCTGGATATGACAAACACAGCAGTTTCTTCTGGTCCCCCTCACACAGCCACCACCTCTCACTTGTGCAAATAGCTGCTAATCGAATGGTGGATGGAGGTTCTCCTAAAGAGGAAGCTAAAAAGTGGAATTAATGAATGTAATGTAGGCATTGTCACTCATTCATTCACTCATTCATTCACTCATTCATTCATTGAACACTTATTGTCACTTATTATCTGTTAAGATCCAGAATGGACTCTGGTGGTTCAATGGTGAATTAGATGCAGTCCCTGACCTCAAGAACTTTAGAGTTGACTGGGGAATGCAAACTAGTCAACAAACAGCTCTACGGCCCAGTGGAAAGTGCCAGGATGGGACTAGTGAGAAGCACTTCACTTTCTATTCTGCTTTTTGGAAGAGGTGACAGAAATAAGTACAAGTGGTAAAATGGTGTTGATGGTTGTAGGCACGTATCTCAGGCAAAAAGAACAAACGTAGACAGAAGCCCAGTACTGGGAGAGAACCCTGTTCACTGGGAAGATGAGCTGAATCTTAACTTCTAAAATGTGAGACCCCATTTTCACTTCACCAAGGAACCTGCCTGACTGCTTTCAAGTTTCCCCTCTTTTGCATACGGCAAACGCTTGCAAATAAACAACTCTTTAACCACATGATTCTGAAGCAATTTTATGTAGCAATGATCAAATGTGTCCTTTCCGTTTGTTCCATGTTAGGCACCATAATTTGAAAGATGTGAAAAAAATCAGAAAATGTACTGAGAAGAGCCATCAAAGGGAAAGGGGGTTTTCAGAAATAATACCTAGAAGGAATGAGCAAACTGACTAAAATGCTTGCCATGGAGAAAGGCAGCATAAAAGACTTGTTTGCACTAAATATTCAGCTACGTAAATGACAGTGGCACAGGGTCACCAAACTGAATTTTGAGTTTGTTAAGGAAAGAATGAACAGAAATGACTTGAAGAATCATGAGAATGGAGTTAGTTACCTGCCTAAGGTTCCTGCCTCTGAAGAAATACCTGAAAGGCAACCCTGGTAAGTGTGGATTTCCCCTGTAAACTGGCCATTACACCCAAGGACCAAGCTGGACTCTGTATTTGGGGCTTACTGAAATCCAGGTCTGTTCCACATGATGGCCCAAGGGTGCTGGGACTTTGTCAGTTTTATATCTTTGGTGCCTAGCACAGTATTTGGTACACACTAGGTCAGCCGTGGGCAAACTACGGCCCGCGGGCTAAGGAAAGAATGAACAGAAATGACTTGAAGAATCATGAGAATGGAGTTAGTTACCTGCCTAAGGTTCCTGCCTCTGAAGAAATACCTGCAAAAGCAACCTGGTAAGTGCACTGGATTTCCCTGTCTGTAAACTGGCCGTCACACCCAAGGACCAAGCTGGACTCTGTATTTGGGGCTTACTGAAATCCAGGTCTGTTCCACATGAATGCCCAAGGGTGCTGGGACTTGGTCAGTTTTATATCTTTGGTGCCAAGCACAGTGTTTCGTACACACTAGGTGCTGGAGAAACATCTAATGAATGAATGAATGGTGGTCAGAGCGATGGGTTTGATGATTCCCGAGTCTCTCTTCTGTTCCCTGGGGTCTCAGCTGGAAACCATCGCCGAGGGAACGGCACTCCAGTTTCCTCTGGTCCGGAGAGGTTTCTGGACTTGGGAAGGAGGAGTAGCACTTAGAAGAACATGAATTCCAGCTGCTAGGGAACTGGTAGTCTCTTGGCGTGTTTTAAAGCCCAGCAGTACAGGAGATTAAGCCTCTGTTATCCCTCCTGGTCTTAAGGAACCCAGGAGGGCTCTGAAGGCAGAGGCTGTGCAATTGCCCCTAGGGTTCTTGGGTGGTTATAGGGACAGATTTTAGACCATAAACGAACCAAGGAGGCTTCTTGTTAATCTCTACCTCCCAATTACCGGAACTAGGCAAACTCCACTTTAAAATGAAAGCAACGTCTAAATAACTTGGAGGCCCCGTGAACCCACATGCATGTTTAAGGCTCTCTGCAGGCTTCAGTGTGTCTGAGTTCTCTTTTGTGCACTGGTATTTACTACAAGGTCAATGCCGGAGCAACGGTAATAAACGAATTCTCTAAATGCTTCCAAGGCCCGAGCACGGCATAGGTTCAGTAAAGGATTACCATTGCGATTAACTTCTCAAGGAACTTCCTTTAAACGTTTCCACAGAATCTTCTGGATGCAAACCAATACTATGTACACTGGGAGATTTATGGAAACACGGCCTGTTCCTCCCTCTCAAGTCAGTCTGTCGGCAGCATTTACCGAGCAGCCACTGTCTGTAGAATTCATCTCAAGTTTCAGTTTGGCAAAAATATGGAGTCGCTGCCTAACAATAGTAATTCCTCACTGAAATAAAAAGGTGAAAATGAAGGCAGCCCTGCTGTGAAGAGACCAGGTTTCCCACTGCTTACAAAACTGACGGGCCTTGTACGTCTGGAGGCGAAGGTGTGTGCCTTGAGGGGTCAGTGATCCTGCCAGGAGAGCAATTAAGCGTTTGGGCCTACCATGACGTTGAGGATGTGCTTGTCCTGGGCCTCGTGGTCCAGCCGCTCGGCAGTGTAGAGCACGCCGGTGCTGGGGTCCATGCGGAATTTTCTCATGCTGGCGGCGTCGATGCTGCTGTGCACCGTGTAGCTCAGCTTGTGCTTCTCGTCTCGGTCTGTGGCCTCGATCTGCAGTATCTCTGTGTCGGGGAGCACGTCCTCGGAAATTGTCACATCGTAACTCGGCTGAGAGAATTCCGGGCCGTTATCGTTATTATCCAGCACTTTGATAAATACCTATAGTTAAAAGAAGACAAGACTGAGGACTAATGCCAACGCCCTCTTTCCTCCCGCCCGGTCCTTGGATCCCAGCTTGGAGCAGCTATCTCAACGTGTAGGAAGTTCTTGTATGAAAATACTCTGTAATTAGAGGCTGACAGTAAACCAGGAGTTCACAGTGGCAGGGACGTACACTACAGCTGATCAATACTCTCACTATTAACTGAACAGCTAAGCTGGCCCCCAGGGGTGACAACTCCACAGGGCCACTTGAGGCACCATGTGAGAGACCACAAGGTGACCTCAGTGTGGTTCATTCCTATTATCTCTTTTTTACTTTTATTTTATTGATTTTTTGCAGAGAGTGAAGGAGAGGGAAAGATAGAAATATCAATGAGAGAGAATCATTGATCAGCTGCCTCCTGCACGCCTCCTACTGGGGGATTGAGCCTGCAACCCAGGCATGTGCCCTTAACCAGCATCAAACCTGGGACCCTTCTGTCCGCAGGCCGACGCTCTATCCATCGAGCCAAACCAGCCAGGGCTGTTCCTATTATCTCAAGTTGAGTGGCCTTCTCAGAGCAAGCAGAGCTTCTCAACTGCAGTGCCCACACATGGCGGCTCTTTCGGAAGGGACGTGTTGAGTAAAGAACATGATAGTGAAATACAAAGTTCCTAACTTGTGTTACTTTATAAATCATTTTGTTATAAAAATGTTCAGCCACATATAAAAGTCATAGCTTAATGAATCTTCATGTATTCATTGCTCAGCTTTGATAATAAGGAATTCACGGCTTAACCTTGTTTCATACCCACCTGCTCCCCCAAATTATTTTGAAGCAAATCCCAGCCATCATGTAATTTCAGTGTGTGTCTCTACATGACAGGGACTCTTAAATGCACACAATACCATTATTGCATCTATACAGAGAGAACTAATTCCTTATTGTTAATAAATATTCAGTTGGGGTTCATCTCTCTATAATTGCTTTTGAAAATGGAATGTACGTTTGTATTATACATATATATGTATATATATTTCATAGTTTCTTTTAATCAGGATATGCAAATAAGATCCAAACATTGCATTTGCTTGATGTCTTCTGATTTATAGATTTTCCCTTTATTTCCTTGCAATTTTTATGTTGTTATTGTTGGCAGTGAACAAACTGAGCCATTTTATCTTTATGGTTCCCACAGTCTGAATTTCACTCATTCCATCCCTGTGGGTTTTTTCTACAGGTCCTACTGTCCTCTGTATTACTTATACATTGCTAGTTTGATATAGGAGGCTTGATAGATTCAAGTTTAATTTTCTCCTCCTTTTTCTTTGACAAAAATACTTCATGAGTGATACAGTGCACTTCCATTCAGAGACACATACTACCTGGTTCTCCCTATGGTTATGTGATATTAACAGCCATTGATGATCATTGTACACATAACATTAACTTATTAAAAATACAAAATGGTAATGTTTTTAATTCTACAATTTCTTTCTCACTTATTAGCTGGAGGAGCTCTAAAAAGAACTCTTTGGTTCCTCTGATACACGCTTCCTGTAGGAACAGCAGCATAAATACTTCTTTTTCTCTATTTATCATTTCAAAAATAATGAGCTGGTTCTTCAGCTCCTCCCAAAGTGATCAATGAAGTATTTTTTTTTCAAGCAACGTTATGAACTCCTGAATTTAATCACATCTGATACGTTTCTGTCCATTAAAGTTACTGATGCACAAATGGCCCTTCCTTGGTCAGTGAGAGCCTTGCTTCAAATGGGCTCTTATGATATTTTGACACAACTACTGTAGTCTTTGATAGCTTACTTGCTTTACAATAATTTCTACCGGTATTTTTTTCCAAGTATTTTTTCTAACCCCAGTCCTGAATTATCCATTTCTTCAAAAAGTGTTGGTTACTTTTTAGTTAGAAGTGGCATTTAGAGATGATGATGTGTTAGTAGGGATGTTCATTGCTACTATTGTGTCTAGCTTTTACTCAGTGGACATAATCAGCAAAGTGTTTTGTTTCCTTGTTAATCCTCACCGAGGATATTTTTTCCATTGATTTTTAGAGAGAATGGAAGGGGGAAGGGAGGGATGGGGAGAGAGAAACATGGATGTGAGAGAGATACACTGATCGGTTGCCACCAGCCTGCAGTCCAACTGGGGCTAAGGATGAAACCTGTAGCCCAGGTCGGTTCCCTTCACTGGAATGAACCCACGACTCTTTGGTGTGCTGCTGGCACTCTAACCACTGAGCTAACTGGCCAGAGCAAAAGTTCTTTGTTTCTAATGATTATTTCATGAGTTGATATTGATACCTACAATTTAAAATGAGGGCATCTCGGTTTTTACTTAATTTCATTTTTTTAATATTTGTATCTCTGTTTTGCCATGCTGAAATTTCTCATGCCAATGACATCATCATAATTACTCATTGTTTTATTTGAAACACAAGAACAAAGCCTAAGCATAACAATGCCAACATTGTTATTATAATTACATTACAATTATGAACATTCAAAAACAATTTAGTATTATTTTGTAGTTATTTTTGTCCTCGGGATTTATCCTGCTGGGATATACAGTCAATTTAATGCTTTTAAAATCACTTAGATGCCCTAACCGGTTTGGCTCAGTGGATAGAGTGTCGGCCTGCGGACTCAAGGGTCCCAGGTTCCATTCCAGTCAAGGGCATGTACCTTGGTGTGGGCACATACCCAGTAGGGAGTGTGCAGGAGGCAGCTGATAGATGTTTCTCTCTCATCGATGTTTCTAACTCTCTATCCCTCTCCTTTCCTCTCTGTAAAAAATCAATAAAAAATAAAATAAAATCACTTAGATTAGTTCTTCTCTATGTGCTAAGCATTCTACAATGCAGAGGACAGTCCCCCACAATAAAGAACTATCTCACCCAAAATGTCAACATGTCACTCATTATATCCTGAAGGTCAGTCCACAGCAGTTTAGAAATATTCTTCCAATGGGTAGATAAATCATAGTTAATTCAATCAATCCTCTACTGATGTTCATTTAAAATGTTTCCTACTTTTGCTCTTAGGGCAGTGGTTCTCAACCTGTGGGTCGAGACCCCTTTGGCGCTCGAACAACCCTTTCACGGGGTCGCCTAAGACCATCCTGCATATCAGATATTTACATTACGACTCATAACAGTAGCAACATTACAGTTATGAATTAGCAACGAAAATAATTTTATGGTTGGGTCACAACATGAGGAACTGTATCTAAAGGGCCAGAAGGTTGAGAACCACTGTCTTAGTGTGTATAATGAAGAGCCTTGTACCCATGTCTTTTCATATTTTTGCTAGCTTATGTTTGGGACCCTAGATTGGGATTACTGGATCAAAGAAGAAGTGCTCATTCAATTTTGGTTGATAATTTCATATTCCCTGACCCAAAAGTTTTATCATTCGGCGTTCCCAGAGCAACACAGAGTGGGGCAAAGGTAGGTTTATAGTTGTGAGTACATAAAACCCAGAGTTTATTCTATTATTATTTATCAATTATTGTATCATTTTCCAAACAAACAACTGTATACCTGCTTTTGCCCTACCCGGTGTATGAGAGTGACTGTCTTCCCACAGCCTTGCCAACAGAGTACCTATGCAGTAAAACTTAGAGTTTCTGCTAATCTGATAGTTGAGAAATGGCATTTTAATACAGTTTTCATTTTCTTTTCTTTCATTATAAATATTTTCCTTTTCATCTGTTTAATAGTCATTTGCATTTTGTTTTCTGGGTTTTTTTTCTATTCATTTATTTAAATTTATCTTTATTGTTGAAAGTATTACAGAAGTCCCCTTTGGTTTTTTTTCCACTGACCCCCTCCACCCCACACCCGCTCCTATCAAGCCTTCTCCACACTATTGTCTATGTCCATGGGCTATGCATATCCTATATAATAAAAGCCTAATATGCTAAGTGTCCAGTCATCCATTCGACCAATCAAAGCATAATATGCTAATGATATGCTAAGGCCACTCAACTGCTTGCTATGATGTGCACTGACCACCAGGGGGCAGACACTCCAACCGGTAGGTTAGCTTGCTGCTGGGATTTGGCGGATCAGGACTGAGTGAGACAGGCTGGTCATGCCCCGGAGCCCTCCCGTGGTCCCTCCCTGGCCCCCGATCATGCACCGGTGGGGTCCCTCAGCCTGGCCTGCACCCTCTCGCTATCCAGGATCCCTAGGGGGATGTCAGAGAGCCGGTTTCGGCCTGATCCCACAGGCCAGGCTGAGGGATCCCATTGGTGCACAAATTTATGCACCAGGCCTCTAGTATGCATATAAGTTCCCCTGTTAATCTCTCCACTGTTCCCCCTACCCCTGCCTTTCCTCTGAAATTCCTATCTGTTCCATGGTCCTATGTCTCTGGATCTATTTTGTTCATCAGTTTATTTTGTTCATAAGATTCCATATATGAATGAGATCATGGATACTTGTCTTTCTCTGACTGGCTTATTTCGCTTAGCATAATACTCTCCAGGTCCATCCATGCTGTTGCAAATGGTAACACTTCCTTCTTTTTTACTGCTCCATTTCTTTTTCTGTTAAAACTATATCAAAGCATTCTTTTATGAATGAAATGGACTTTCCCTTTATTTTTGGAAAATATAATGATATAAATGGCAAATGTTTTCAATTTTGTCATTTATCTTTATTTTGCTCATGGAGATGTTTTGCTATGCAAAGTTTTTATTTTTTTATTTTTATGGTCACGTAATTGAATACATCAATCTTTTCCCTTGTTGTTTCTGGACCTTAAGCCATAGTTTAGAACATTTTCTACATTTCTAGGCTATAGTGAACACACTCATTTTTTATAAATAACATTTACATGTTCCCTTTACTTACATTTCCATCTCTAATCCATTTGGAATTTTTCCTGGTATATTATGTGAGGAATGGATCCAGTTTTATTTTTCTCCCCACATGGCTCTCCATTTATTTCAATGCCACTTTTTAGATCAACACTTTCCCAGAAATTTAAGAAG